GATTAATAAAACTCCTTGTAACACTAAAGATGAAGGCAAGGATTATGGCAGCATTCACCAACTTAAGCAAGGAGACCATCCAGAAGAGTTGCAGGAAGTTGTTGGAGGTGGGGGTTGAAGTCAGTGGTGAATTTATTGAATAAATTTACTCTTTAGTATTTCAAGATATTTTTGTGTAATTTTGGCAAATATATCTGTTAAAATGAGATGTCTGTTATTTTTGTTTTTGCATAATTTTGATGACAATTTATCCATAGTACCCTATATATATATATTATTGTAAAGTACACTACATTGTTTTTTTATTGTCAGAAATCAACCCTGGTTGACAAATTTAAGAAATAGTTTGAATAAATGCAGGATGTAACAATTTGAGAAAATCACCATGTTAAGTATTACACTAATTTTCAAGGTCATCAAGAATAATGCAGTCATTATTTTTCTCATGTTAATATAAAGAATCATAAGATGTTTCTGAGAGGTTTGTTATACAGATTATAAATTTGTTGTAAAGTTTTTAATCAGTGAATCTCTGCCCTTTAATGTTGATTAACTCTTCATGAACAAGTGACTTTACTAGCTTTCCTTTCTAAGCTGAATTGAATCAATTTGAAATATATTACTTGCCAGCTTGGTTGTATTGAGAAAAGAAAAGGACTTTTTCTTATGTAATAAACATTTATAGATAATTACTTATTGTTTATTTGCTATCATTTCATTTTGGATAAATAAAAGCAGTTAAACACAGAACAAGATTTAATTTATTTAAATCATCTAAGACATCATGTTTTTTATCCTTTGATCAGTTTTAATAGGATTGATATTTGAAAGGTAAGGAAGGGAGACCTGAGCATAAATGAAGTTGTAAATGCTTACTGGTTACTTTATATGCACTCTGTAAGCAAATTTCCCTGAGTATCTGGTGACATGTTCTTAATTGGTCAGATAATCTTCTCTTATTCATGTCATGATATTGAATATGTCATTTCCTTTGATCACACCAACAATGGCTTTCAATGGTTGAACTGCATTACTGAATATGTTACAGGTGTTTACTTTTCTAAATTAAATAGCAGGAGAGTAGTTTTTTTTCTTGCACTCATCTCAGTATAACCCATGAAACTGTATGCTGTGTCTACCTTTTAAGTAGGACTTGCATTCATTGGTTAAACAGACATTTATAATTTATATATAATAAATGTTGAGTAGAATTATAACTTTCTGAGAATTCCTATTTTTAGAGGTAAATTTGCATTAGGTATTTTACATATAAATGCTTAAAGCTTAAAACACTTGCACATTTTATATATATATATATATATATATATATATATATATAACACATGCATACAGTGGGAAAAATAAATCATTTTTCATGGTTACAGAATGAAGATAATCATGGCTTTCCACATCTTCCTTTTCTTTATTATCTATGCCATCTTCTTGAAATTTTGTATGAATCTGTTAAAGTTTTTGCTTAGATTTACTCTGGTATAGATGAAAACTATGTTGTGTAATTTTGAGGTAAATTATATATATATATATATATATATATGTGAGTGTGTGTGTGTTTTTAGGCAGCAATCCTTCTTTCATGCACATTTCATTGAATATGACTGACAAGGTGCCTTGATTTAGTTTTTTATATAATTTCTCATGTGATCTAGTAATTTTTTCTTTTCAGATGATAAATTATATAAAAACTGTTCGAATTTTTTTTTCTGAGTGCTTTGGGTTATACATATATAGCCATTTTCAAGGATTAAATATTTAACAGTTAAAATATTTTTTATCTTATATATTATATATAAAAAAAAATTAAATTTAAAAGTTAAGTTTTAAATTTCTGCATGGTCACTCTTTCATGTGCATGTGTAGTTACATCAACATAAACATTACTTTAGTCTGATGAAGTCCTGAAGGCTGAAAAATGTGACAGGAAAAATTTATATATATATATATATATATATATATATATATATATATATATGTGTGTGTGTGTGTGGTGTGCACACTAAATAAATCATGTACAGATATGTAAAATAAGCTTATTACTGATTCACTGATCCTTTGAAAGTAACAATCTTGTAAAACAAACCTTCAACATCTTAAATTTTACATTATATTTCAAGAAAATTTGTTATACATAATTTTAAAAAACAAAAAAACAACAACATATTTCTATCGCCATTTTAACTCACTGCATTTTAGTCAGGACTAAATTTATCATATTTCACATAAAAATTCTATTTCTGATACTCCAAGATGCAGCACAAAAATATTTCCGTGAATCTAATATGAAATTAATATGTATATCTTTTATATACAAATAAGAATTTATGTGGTACAAGGGATCTAGTTTGATTAGTTAAAATTAAAAAGAAACAATGTCTTCACCATCCATGCCTGATTTTGAGATAAAATTGAAACCCTTCAAAATCCTGTCATCTATATGGACTACCATTTTCATCTGATTTTTTTTACTTGCTAATTTCAAAATTAATAAACATGTCTAAGTATTATCTATCTTTTGATTTACTAAATAGTTATTGGTATGTATATTGATGATAAATAATGTGAATTTTGAAGTAGTTTTTCATTTAAAACCAAGGTCATTTTGATATTTTTTGGTGATTTTTCTCATTTTCAAAGTAATTGGTATATGACCACAAGAGAAAAAACATTAAAAAGTTACGAAAACAAATCATATCAGTGTCTTTAATAAAACCTGTTTAGAATTATTTTAAAATAAAAGGTGCTCAAATATCTGATTCAAAACAAAGTTAATTATTTGTTTTACTTTTGGAAAAATCAAAACTGTAATCTCTATTATTCACTCATGTATTGTAATTAGAAAAAATGTTTAAATAATTACACCGAAAATGAAGAGTATTTTAAGACACGAAATGACAGAATTAGTTGTTAATGCTTCAAGAAATGATTACAATAATTAAAAATTCAAAATGTCCTATTTCCACTGAGCAGATTATCTCCGATGTGAATGAAATCAAGGGAGATAACTCCATAATTAAACATAGAACTAGTTTGAGAGAAAACAATAATAATTATCTTTGGTTTTTGATGAAGCTATTTTTTCCATATTATCTCTTTTATTAATCGCATCTTGAAATCAATAGACCAGTGTCCAACTGCCAAGCTTTTTAATGTTGATTGATTTGTTTTTTACTGCTTATAAACCCTTTATGGGTTATTTACAGCTGGAACATATTTTTGATTATGAGAATAATTGTTTTTTTTACTAGAGAATATTGCGTTAACAATTATCTAACCAGACAAACGTCTTACTGTTTAACCCATATCTAGAGAGGTTATACTTTCCCATGTATAACATCATAGTTAATTTCTGACAATAAATAGAGAAACAACTTGCAGACATTGTACTATTTCAAGAATAAAGCAATTATTTTTTATACCCACCCTTCATAGTAAAGTTAATAGCAATGAACATGTTAATGAAGTCTATCTTAGACACTTGAACCCTTACATAATGTATTGCTAGAGTTATCATTAGAAATTATTGTACAAGATTACTTACATTTTAATTTGATAAATTAAGTTTATTAAGCAATAAAAAAGATGATAAAGTACATCCTTGGCATTGACTTTTTTTGTTTTTTCTTCATCTTGCTGTTATATGCTGCATATGGTTGCAAGAAAACAAACTAAAATAACAAAGTACTGCCAGTGAGGTGGAAAGAAAAAGAGACAAAATATGTTAAAATTTTCTGTATTTTTAAGGTGGAATGTCATTTTGTGGGTGAGGGAAGTGACCTGGAGGATAGAGATTTAGTTGTGTATGGGCATAGTATTGAAGTTTGTGTCAGGTCAGTTGGCCCAGTGGCCATTTGTGACTGCCTGCCTACTATCATGAGCAATTGAATCTCAGCATTTTTTTTTGTCATACTTTTGCTTTTAGTGGCAACATTTGTGATTGGTTGTGATGTTTAAATTGTATTTTATATTGGCGGGGGTTGTTTTGTGAGTCAGATATGATACTCTCTGTGCAGAGTCTCTGAGTGACTTTTATTATTAATTTTACTTTCACAGTGTTCACATCCAGTTGAAAGTTTTTGATGTGGGGTAAATCAGAAAGAGATCTAATTTGAAGCAGAATATAACAGTACTAAAGTGATATGGAGATAGTGCTGGTGGTTATTATTATTATTATTATTATTATTATTATCAAAACAGCTCTTCAAATCAAAGCAAAAATAAATTAGATGTTCTTTTTTTGCTATTTAAAGAAATAAAAACAGTGAAATAGATGAACATTTGTGTCAGGTGACAAGCAACAGGCCATAAGATGTTACACACATATTGTGTAGCAGTAAATGTGTTACTGCTCAGTATCATGAAACAGACAGAAAAGTGACTTAATGTAATGCTTCAACTGATAAGTTTTCTCACAAATATCTTGAATCTGGTAAGATAACAGAGAACTGAAATAACATGATAAAAATGCTTAATAACTTCCTTAACCTAAATGTTTTGAGGAGGTTATAGAAATTAAAGGCTATTTAGATACATTTCTATTATTGGGGAAAAAGAATCTTTATACTGTAAATTAAATGATAGTTAAATATTGACAAAATATCCAGAATATGTATTTTTTTTGAATAAATCAAAACTGCTTTAATGAATATAGAAAATGATCTTAAACTTGATGTCAAAACAGAAGTGTATATTACCTCAAAAATATTGTGTTAAATCTTACAAAGATGAAAATATTGGTCCAAATAAATTACAGAATTAAGACAGTATTTTGCATTCATAGAATAACTTCTTTTTATTTAACTAATGTCTCTTAACTATTTTGTCTGTAGAAGCAAAAACTAATAGCACAAGGCCAGATATAGATCAGGCATGGAGTGAAGACATTTTTCTTCTCCTTCTTTTCACGCAAGCGTACTCTGCCCCTGTTAGTTCTTTGACTGCAGCAGAGTGAGAATTGTTCTGTGAGCCACCTGCTGTAGTCCTACCTGTCGTCTTGCTGGCCCCAGGGGGCCTGGTGTATCAATCGAGTAACCGTAATTAGAATGTCGATATATACTCCTTATTATGCGGTAACCAGAAGTGGCACTTGGACTGGGTTCCTCTCTTAAATCTCTTTTGCCCTGAAATATCAGATACTCTTGATTTTTTTTCCATTTTTTTTTTATAATAGTCAACTTTTCTTTTTTACTTACCTTATGTAACTGGAGCTATTGAAAGTTAGAGAGTTGAATATCTTTAATTGTAATATCAGCAGAAACCAAGATGGTATAATAAACAAGTTGTATTAACAGGTGTGTTTGAGTTACATTAATAAAACCAAACATGAAATATATCACCTTCTGAACTTTCTATCCTAGGATTCTGAAGCAGTTGGACCAGTTTAAATCTAATATAGAACTTGATTCATCATTTATTGTTATATTTTATTTTTTTTTTATTTTACTTATAACCTTTGAATTTTATCAGGTGAAATAAAACTGTAAGTCTAAGATTAAAAAAACATACAGATGTATTCCAAACATATTAAGTATTACTATAAACAACAAATCAAAATAAATACACTGTTTTGAATAACTTATCCAATTATGGTAATATATTTAGTTTAAAAACCTGTTTGTAAAACCCTCAGATTTGTATTAAATAAATGTGAATGATTTTCATACATAAGTGTATTTTTGGAGCCTTTAAATTCACTTACACAGTTTTGATATTTGGCTATCATGGTGGATTTGTACTGCTTTTGATAATTTTTGTTTTTCATTTTTGAGATGAGGAATTGTCAATTTATTAGAAATACTGTTCTTGTTTTAATTATTACAGATTTTAATCTATCCATATCAGTGAAATATAATGGCAGTCTTCTATGTGTCATGTCCCTTCAGGATGTTTGTGATCATGACTCTCCACAATCTCCTGCGCTTTGTAACTCAATAAATTTTGTTGCTTTGTTATCTCACTTAAACTATGTTCCATCATCCATTTACTCAAGCTCAGTAGGTAATGTGTTGTTTTCTTTTGTTCCTCTTGCCTTTAATCTGTCCTGTGAGTGTTAAATTTTACAAGCTCTCTTTCCTTATTATGTGCCCTAAAAATTTCAACTGTCTTTTTCTAATGCTAAATGTATGTTTTGTTTCCATTTTCTCTAAAACTTCATTGTTGTTCGCATGTTTGATCCATGGTACTCTCAGCATCCTTCTGTAGAACCATATTTCTTTTGCTTCAAGTTTCACCTTCATCTGTGAAGAGATTATCAAGTATTCACTGCCCTATATGAGGACTAATTTTATGTAACAGTTCAATATGCTCTTCTTTGTTTGTAGTGAAATTTTCCTGTTTCTTGATACTTTGATTAGCTTTTAGAAGGCAGATTTTGCTATCCCAATGAGCCTTCAGATATCAGTGTCACACTTTTCATGATTTTCATGTTTTCACTTTTAAAACATTTCAGAGATATTTAAATTATAGTACTTGGTTGATTTTGGTATCTCCAACTTTTCATTATACTAGTAGTATTAGATAGATTCAAATAACCTGTGCCCAAACTAAAGAACATCGTGTAATATTATTTGAAGTTCTTAGCTGAAGCATTGCCAGTTATTATTAATATTTTGAATAGTTTTTCTTTTATATTATTTCTTTTTCATTCAAAATGTCTATGTTCAAGATTATTTATTGCAACTGTTAGGTCATTATTTTACAACCATTAAGTAAGAATTGTAGATATATTGAGTGTGAGATAATGACTCCCTACACCTACTCCCTTCAAATTTGAAGGAATGAGGAAGGAGCAGGAAAGGAATTCATGAGCCTATGTGAAGTTTTTTTGGACAAATGAAAACCTTGCCTTCATAGAAATTGGCCAATGAGCCGAGAAGAAGTAGCAAAAGAATTCATAAGCCTACGTGAAGTTTTTTTTTTTTTATATAAAATGAGAAGAAAAATTAAATTAATCAGACAGTATGTCTGAAATCATGGGAAAGGTTTTGTTTCAGTTCATTGTGACCAGAGTTGAAGTTCTCACTAGTGTAAAATTACTTGCCAATTATTTTATCGGTCTCTTATCAGCTTGTGGCACTTTAAAGAATTTTCTCTCAACAATCCAAGAAAGTTAAGCATTTCAAACTATCTCTCTTTATCTACTTTTGAATGTATGCAAACAATATATCCATTCAATGAGCAACAAAATCTCTTACCTTTGACTTAAACTTTTTTGAATATTATTTTGTGTCAGATCATTTAATCTGTTGTATGAACATTTCCTCTTCATGATAATATGTTAAAACTATGGACTTTATGAAATTCGGATTTTTTTTTTCTGAAACAAGCTATTGACACTACTTAAAATGTGTAAATTTGTGAATAAATTCCTTATCTTTTTTTGTTAAAAATACCAATGTGTTTCCTTCTCATTATCATCCTTCATTAATCTTCTTGGTGTGGGTAAATCAACTGTTCATTCTAACTCCTAAGCCCCACACCACTATATAGATAAAAAAAGGAATAAAAAAAACAAATTTCAAACTTATATTGCTTTAATTTTTATATTCATCAGACATTTTTTGTATCTTTTGTAAGACTTTAAATTATGCAGCATTTAAGAAGTGTGTAAATGCATAAATAGGTAGCATTTTTAAATTTATGGAGTTACAGGAAGAGAATTGTATTACAGGTGACCTAATTCTGTTAATTTGAGGATAACAGGTAGTATCAAATGTTTAATTTTTTTATTGTTTAACTCCTTAAGGTTGACTCTGGTGGAAAATGGTTTAAGAGAAACTCAAGATAAAATAAACTGTAGACATTTGAACTAAAGAATATAGACATTAAAGACATTTGTACATATGGAATTAAATGTGTTTTTTCTGAGTTTCTTGCCTAATTAATATATGAAGATCATAATGAAATGTAATAAATTCAAGTTGAGTAGAAAATAAATTGAAAAGGAAACAAAGTTTCTTAGAATTTGAGTTTTGGGAATATTTGTTCAATTTATATCTACCTCTATTAATTATCAATTTTTATTATCCCATTTTCGTTGCTTGTTGAGCATATATAGTATATATTTTGTGAATAATAACAAAGCAGTTATTAATTTTGGCTCTAATGACAATAAAAAACAGCAGAAACTGAGCTGAAATGAAAATAAAAATTACATTAAAAATATTTAAGCGTAGCACTCCCTCCCCACAAACAACAACAAAAAAAAAACAATTAAATATTAAGATCTAAAGGATGCAACTCTTTTTTAAAAAATAACTGTATTGCGTAGAAACAATTGCAAAAGTTAAGAACTCTCTTTTGAAGGAGAGAAATTAAATTTTCCTTTTAATACAATGTAATACAAAAACATTCAAAATAGATCAACAGTACTAATTCTTGGTAAATTAATAAAACTTAGAAATAATACTTACTGGTCTGCCTGGCTGCCCATCTTTTCCTGGTGGCCCCTGAAAAAAAATAACTGAATTATAAGAATGTGTGGGTAGGGAAAGAGAGAAAGTTTAAAAACTTATATTTTACCATGTTTGGCCAACAAACTAGTGATAATGCCTGCTTGTTGGCATAACATCAAAATATGTTTTCCAAATTGGAATATATATATATATATATATATATATATATATATATATATATATATATATATCCAAAACCATTCCTGAGTGCTAGTTATGGGAGAGTGATTTGCCCAATCACTCACAAAAAAAGTGATACCGAAAATTACACACAACATACTAAGATCATCATATCACATATTCCCAGAAATCAAATTCTTTTTCTGAAAATGCTGGTTCATTGGCAAAACATGACAAAGTTTTCTAAATTGTCTCCTATATTTACCATTCTGTCAGATTTTCATTCAACTTTACTCCTATATATTTATAGTAAAGTTTTACTTATAAATTAATGAAACCAGAGAGGGTTTCATTGTACTTCATTTCAGAACATTCGACATCATCATCTGAAATTAATTTGCATTATAAAGATATGGCACTTAATACAAGAAAACAACTCTCTCAGTTGACAATGATCCAGTTCGATATATTTAAATGTACTCACTTTAGAAATGCAAGTATTGACTTAGTGTAGTAAGTATATAGAACTTTCATTCACTTAAGGCCACATCACGCTGAAACTGGTTCCAGTATGATCACTGAAGTTAAGCCACATTGAGGCTGGTCAGCATATAGATGGGTGACCGTTTGGAAATGCAAGCTGCTGTAGACTTGGATATACAGGTGATGTAATGGATAATGACTTGGAATTGTTAATTTTAAAGCCGAGTTCCAATTCCCATTGTGTTTGTTATATTCACTTATACACAAATACTCTTGGGGAAAGGTATGAATCCACCTCTTCCCTCCAGCTATGGATTAATTAGTAAGACTTGTATTGGTAAATCATTATTATCTCCCAAAAGTTCTTGCTGTCTAAAAGAAAATTCTGGCTTTAAATAACCTGAAAAGGGTTGATAAACCATTAAAAAACCAAATCAATTATTCTTTATTTTCTCTTGAGAGAGGATATTAAATAAGGTCAGAGCAAGTTAATACCTAAATGTATTGCTTTGGTCACAAGCTTGAATACCTGATATTTATGACAACATCTTAGATTAGATGTCAAGGTCATATACATAATTTTACCAAAACAATTTATGCTAACATGATTAACAAGCTTGCTGGAATATTTCTTAAACTTGGTTTCAAATTGTATGAGACCAAATAACAGAGAAATTGTGCAATACTGGTTGGTTATCTCTAATCTGGCATCAGTGGGACATAGGTATCATATGGTTTTTGCTGAATTATTGAAGATTATGTTAGAATACACTTAATCCAGAAGATAATCACTTCATCCTACCATTAAAATACTCTGTAAATCAGTACATGTTGCTTAATGAAGGAAAATGAAAAGAAAGCCATGTGAATGTAATGTGTTTGCATTTTATGCCACAAGAAGCACTTCCTGTATTCTCTGGAGCCATGAGTAGGACTGAACATCAGAAGGTTATAATAAAAATGCATAGAAGACAAGTAAAAATGCCTTACCATTTTTTTGAAAGTGCGAAAAAAAGTGCTGATACAGCAGCTAGCACAACCAAACTGTAATGGCTTGTCAGTGCAAATCTGTAATTGCTCTTATGGAAATTAGTGACAGATTATGGTTTTAAATGTATTAATAATTGCCAGATTGGTGATGGCCAGTCTGTACTATTCTTCCAAGTGGAAAGAGAGAGTACCTGCCTAGAAATCCTGATTTTTACCCGAATATTCTGGCATTATTAGAAAATATCTATTTCAGCTGCAAATGTAGCTTATCTCATGGATTTGTTTGCTTGTGTAATGGAGAAGATCCTAACTGGGTGTTCTATTAAATGACCTTAAATCAACTCTACTAATGTGGATTCTTTCTCAGATCAATCAGAATGCTTTGAATAACTTGTGAAAATTCTCAAGTAAATTGGAAAAATATAAGTTGGTACTGTCATGGCATTAATGCTTTATCAGGATTTTATATAAAAAATTACTTGTTTATTATTAAGGAAACTTAAAATGAAATGGTAATACTTACAGGTGGTCCTCGTGGTCCAGGAAGTCCCTAAAGGTGAAAAAAAAAGTACAAATTAGTAGGATGAAAACTAAAATGAATCTTTAAAATGAGTAAAAAGTTTCAATTTTATTTTCATTTATTTTAGATAATAATTTTGATAGATGTCTACAAATCAATCATGGCCTTTTATCTCCCTATTTCTTAAATAAAATTTAATATCATTTGGCTTTTTATAAAGTAATTATCTTTAATAAGAAAAATAAATGTCGGAAATATTAAAAATATAAAGTAAAATGTAATCAATTTCTATAATATAAGAAAACAAAGGTGATCAGAAAAAAGGTAAAGGATTTTTTAAGATCTCAAAAGAAAGAATAAAATACGAGTGAAAAGAACATACTTGTTCTCCTGGTGGACCTGTTAATCCATCAAAACCTGGTAATCCAGGTGAACCCTTAGGTCCAGGGGGTCCACGGCGACCTGCTTCTCCAGGTTCACCCTGTAGATAAACAATGTTTTGTCATTTTATATACATCATAGAATTAAAAAATGAGGCTTGGAATTAATGAACTAAGTAATGGATTATAAATTATGCTAAATATTATTTAACTTTTTTATTTAAATTAATCAATCCTTATCTTTATTGTTTTCTATAGGAAGTTTTAGGCATTTTGATTGGTTCTTTGTCTTACCTTATTCAGGAGGCATTTTGTCTATTTGCATTTTATGTACAATAAGAAAAAATTTCAACTAGCTATTTGGGTGAAAGATTGTGAAAAAATCAAATTAAAATGAAAACAGTTAAAAATTTCAGTGAATTATCAACAAAATGAAGTTTCAAACAGTGACTAAATACATTTTTTTTTATTTCATTTAAGTAACTAATATGATAAATAGGAATGGTGATAGGATATTTCTTTTGGTATGATGGCCACAGAATAAGGTCTTAGGGCACATCAGTAAAGATGCGGCAAAATGGTGGATATATTTATTTCTCAGAGTGCAACAGGCAGCACTTTTATATACTGGTTACATTAATTAAACTCTGACACAGATAGTTCACATTTACTTTGCACTTAGGAAAGTATCTATTTTTCCTTCCTGTTATATGTAATAGCAGGATAGTTGGTGCCATTTATCGATGTAAGGCAGTTTAATAAAACTGCCTTACAAGCCTGATCCATTAGTTATCAATTTGGTCAAGATGAAAAATGTGTTAAGTTTTATACTTTTCTACTTTATCTAATGAAAGAATTTAGTTAAGAAATGAATAGTAACCAAACAAAATTTCTTTCAAGGTAACAACATATAAAAAATTCTTAATAAATTATATAGGCAAAATCTTCAAAATATAGTCACAAATGACACAATGCACTGGATATAAAAAAAGGTTATTATTCAGCAAACAGAATAGCAAGCATGCAGCATTAACAATGAAATTCTCCTTATATATATAGATAGGTATAAAGTTTGCTACCAAACCAAAACATTAACCTAAAAACTCAAGCCATGTTCTTAAACAGCTCCATCAGATTGAGACTTTCATATAGATGTCATGCATGGTACCAAACCTATTCAGAAATATCTAAAATGTCAGCTGTATACAACCACTTTCTCTGATCAATGGTTAAAAATGGATTTGGGAATGAAATGGGGATGCGCATTGTGGTGTAATGGATATCAGCTCGGAACAAGAACTTGGAGTGCTGAGTTCAAATCCCAGTCGAGTTCATTATATTCACTTATTATGTACAAATACCCTTAGGAAAGGTATGAATCCCTCTCTTTTTCTCCCAGCTATGGTTTGAATAGCAGGGAAGACTGTATTCTTTAGCCTTGGTTGGTAACCAGTCTACTATAGAAAGAAATGGTAACCTACAACATGAAAAATATCTTCTGCCTGGACAGTCACATATTGAAAGATACATGATCGCCGAATCATGTATCACGTGTGGAACTTGACTGACTGAATGAAGCTTGCAGGTTTGAGAGATCACCAAGCTTCTTGGCACCATATGGACACATGCTATAGACTCACAGAACTGTACTAAGTAACAGAAACCATAGCACTTGATATCTAATAGCTTCAGTTAAGGTTTAAACTTTGTTACAACATAAAGTGTTGAATGGAATGAGAATTCTGGGGCCCGATCTTCTCATCATAGCCACTGATGAATTAGAAATCAAAATTAAAACTGATATCTACACAGATTACACTAGAGATATAGAGAGATAGATAGTTACAGGTCCATAAGCATATAAGACTGAGCTTGAAATTCTACACAACTTCTTACTGTTCGTCCCAATATTGTTTTAAAAATAAGGTTTCTCTGTGGGTCTATACCAGGCCTGCACATATAAAAAAGTAAAAAAGCCCATACAGAAGGAAGTTGTACACTGCAGCTGTACATATCTACATTTGACCAGGACTGCCAATTTGAATCTGGAATCTATTAGCATTCATATGAGTCTGGTAACTGACAGCAATGACCAAGAAGCAGCATCATGTATGGGTATATCAATAATGATAGCGCTGCCTGACCATCCAGCATGCCAAATTATTCACTATTCTTGTTAGCAAGGTGACCAACCTGCATAAAAACTTTTGCATTTTTTGATAATCTCAAACAAATCTAAAGTGAAATGATTACCAAACATTTGACACATGAACTAAGTAGGAATCAAATAGGTTTAATTCATTTTTGAATGTTGCTTTTTGGATTTTTGTGAAAACAAGTGTATGTCATCTGACTTGCTGGCTGGTCATCTCATGCACAAAGCTCACCATTGACACCACATTAGTCTCTGGGAATGTCCGACTGGTCCATATGTTAGGAAAATGTATACAGCAACTGTATGTATTTATATTGAAATAAGATGAACTGTGTGACTGCTGCTTCGACCTCAAAGTCCTCTATATTCCCTAGAGGTGCTGCTTCATGCATGAAGCTTGTTGCTGACACCATGTGAAGGGCCACATTGCTTGCAGAAAATTAGCTGTGGTCCACAGGAGTAAATTTTTGAAGTAAATTACTAAATATGAGTGAGACAGAAGCAAATGTAACAAGGGATGGTGAGAAAATGCTTCTTTTTTCTATGAAGAGTTAAAAGGATTAATTAGATACAAAGATAGTGAAATATTGATTGAATAAAGTCAGGCTTCAAACTGAATTTTTAATTTATGACCAGTCATTGAATTTATTCTGATGAACACAAAATATTGACTATTTTGAAAAGCCCTCATGGACCACACTGAATTGTTCAGTATTTTGTGCAGGACTAGTCTCTACAAAGGGTAAATGGGAAATATTTTTCTATGGGTTGTATCCACCTTGGTGTTCCAGCAGCATATATGTTGTAACCTAGGGAAGGTTGGTAATGAACGATAATACTTAGGACATGAACAATACATAAAAGATTTGCCAGTGGTGCATAAAAGAAGTAGTCAACTACTAAAATTGAGTCAAGTGAATTCCACAATGAATCTACAACTGCAGACCAACATACAGTATTTACTACTGTATTCATGTGAATTATTGTCCATAGATATGCTACAACAGTATATAAAATTGGTTATAGCCAAAGTTTACAATGTGTACATTTATCCACAGGCCTTTTTCTCAGCTATACTTGTATCCCTAGAAGTTGCCTCTTGAAGATATGATGTTTGATTTAGCTAATAATATGATGAATAAAACTTTATTCACTTTACAATATTTAGTTCATCTGGAGGTGTAGTGGACTAACAGTAATAGTACAGAAAATGTAATTGGTGAGCTAAGTTCAAATTTAGTCTTTAACAGCTTGTATTCACTTTGTGTTGTTGACTTCCTCTCTTTCTTCAGCTATGGATAAAACAGTTTAGGAGAAGGATAAGTGTATTCAAAATCATGGAAAATGCAACAGAAGACCTCATAACTACCTTGCACAAGAATAATCATGTCTATTTATAAATAGTAAAGAAAGAGGAAGCTGTGGAGAGCCATGATCATGTACGTTCTAAAGAGACGTGTTTAAAAGAAAGAGAATACTATATAAAATTTAGAATCATGCACAAACAAAAAACAAATGAAAAGTTACCTTCAGCTCAATAATTCTTAAATCATCATCACTCCCAAGAGCTCCTGGTAAGCCTTTAGGGCCTCGATCACCCTAACAAACACATGCAGAGAACAAAGGCTACAATGTGTGAAGGCATGCACAACATGCAAAACAATAAACTTACAGATGCAAGTCAGCAAAGAAAAAGAAAGAAATGACAACACAAATGATACAAATTGAAGTTATAAAAGAATCCAAAGCAGAAACTACAAACTTTTCAAATGTCACATTCAGAAAAAGAAACACAGAAAAAAAAAAAGAAGATATTTACAAACTATATGCTTAATTCAGAATTAACGAGGGTCAGAGCTCTTTATTTTGAAATCAGGCTTTTATATGGTGATTTGTTGAGATTAGCTTCAACAACCCTACATATGTAAGAGTTCTGGATTGGTTGCAGGACTGTCCAATTGCGGCCCATTTCCCTGCTGTCTCAGTAAATGTAGGGCCCTTGGCCTCATTTTGCCTCCAAGAAGTGAACAGATAGCACAGACCCATCTGTTCTTCCTTTCTGATATGACATTCCAGACTTATGAAAGAACTTTCATTGTTCTATACTCAAGAAAACATTCACAAAAGGTAAAAACTTTGTATGTTGTGTGTTGTTTCTCAATATAATAAATCTTATATTTGGACTATTCTCATTCTTTACACATAATATTTACTAACTAAACATTATATCAGTATAGTAACCTGTTAGTGCTTTTAGATATTTTACTTTATTTTGAAATTATTTTTATACTGTTGCTTTATTGTTTAAATATGATTTATCTGTATTAGTAATGTTCTGGATCATTGTCATGCTGAAAAATAAAGTAGTTCCAAGTTATCCTTGGAATGCTAATGACTCTTGTATAGTCTAAAGTTGGTATTTAATGAAATAGAAAACAGCTAAAACTCTCTTAAGCAAATGATCTTGAAGTTTTTCTTATGTAATCTCAAGCTATGTTATACTGGGCTCCTTCAAAACTTGCTTGATGTCCTCTTTTAACTTTAGATGTCTTCTGCTTCTTCGTCAACCCTAATTACCCCATTCTCTTTTTATGATATTTATCTTTAGAACCAGTGGAGGCCAATCAATGGCTGCCAGAATTTTGGCAGCTACTTTTTTGTTTAAATATGCTTTAAATGCTTTATTTAATCAAACTGCTTTAAACTATAGAAGAATCTACTTTAGGTTCTGTAGTGATGTGTAAATGACTGTCTAATTAGCATAGCTAAGGCATAGACTATATAAATGCCCAAGTGGTAAGGATAGTGTAGCTCTTGGTATGCAAGATGAAATACAAAGGAACTTATACTTCATAAAATGTTTAGTTACTAATGAACTGGTATATGAAATAAAAAGTTCATTTTTCTCATGTGACCTATGGAAAGTTTGAAATGTTTGATTTGAATTTTTTTTCATGCAAAATAAATGGTTTCTTTTTTTTTCTTTTTAAACAGTGGCATCAGGCATACATCTGAAAGCAGAAGGTAATAAAGCAGTGTCAACAGCTTTCATATTAAAACCCAAACTGCAGCCAGTTTTCATTCATTTACTTTAAGAAAGATGTTTTTTTGCACATATGTGAACAAGTAACTAAGACATCATACTCCATAATCAGTATTTAATATTTACCTCTGTAGAAAATATATTTTCTTTTTTTTTCCTTCTCTTGGGCACAAAAGCAAATACCGTATTATTATCATTCAAGTGAAAATCATTTGAATATTTTTTGCATTAAGTTAGCACATTTTAGAAGTATATTAAGTTAGTACAACTGGTTACAATAAACAGTTTCAGTTTTTGAAATGACATGCAGACATAAAATATCAGATTTTTAGCTTTATGTATAGTCTACAATATATTGAATAAAAATATAAAACATTGCCTGATGTGAAAACTTAAAATTTTGCATTTAATTATATTGTTTAAAATACAAAGTAATACCTTTTTTATTTTTGATAATATTTGACGAGATATGAGAATTGCAATAATAAATTTTCAGTTATAATTTAGTTTGAGTTGAAATAATATGAAAACCATTGGCATATAATAATGAAAGCTTTGTGATTTGAAAAAATAAAATTAAAAATAATCAGGCATAACAAAGGATGCATACAGAAAAAAAACAAGCCATATTATCAGCACCGACCTTAACTGTGATAACTTCATATGTGGCATCCTGAAATAAAATGCAGAATCAATGATATTAACACTGTAAAATGACTGAATATGGATCAGTAAAGAATAATTAATTCACTTAGTGAGTGAGTGTGTGTGTGTGTATACAGTGGGAAGAAGGAAGATGGTACTGCTCAATATTTGACTTGTTTTCAAATACCTGTTTTTTCATGAGCATTTAAAATACCAGAAGTTGGTGTCAATCTGAGCATTTCAGCAATAGGATAAAGCTGCTGTTGATATATATTAAAAAGAGATGTATTTTAGAATTGATTACTCTTTTTTGACAGTTTCCCTTTTTAATTAAGCTTTAAAAGCAAAGGTTGCTAAGGAAATATGGAATGTATCTTTATTTCACTGTAGCATTTTTCTAGAAATGGGGAAATTAATAGTGTGAATTTGGGTAAATGTTTCTGTTAATCTCATCAAGCCAGAAGTTGGAGAGACAAGTTTGAATTCCAGTCAAATACATTACATTCACTTATGAATTAATACCCTTGGGAAAGGTATGAATTCTCTTCTTTTCCTCTCAGCTATGGGTAAATAGCAGGACAGACCGAGTTCTATAGACTTGAGTCACAACCAGTCTAGGAGAAGAACAACTCTGAATTTAAAACTTGCGGAGGGTTGTTTGGGGACCTTGTGGCATATGGTGCACCAGCTCTCTGTATTCAATACTTCCAAAAAGTGTGGTTGCTTCTGCAAAAAGCATTCATCACTATAATCAAACCATATGTGTAGGTGTCTGGCTGTCTGTTTCTAGGAACTGAGTTGCTTCACCGTCATATGTCGAAAAATGACGGGAGATTCAAGTGTATATATATGTATATATATATATCAATAATAATACTATTTGATAATTCATATGGATAATTCCAAAGAAGATATAAATTGAAAGAGAGCTCAATGTAAGAACAGAGCAAATTATTTGATCTGATATTTTTATTAAATTCAAATGTTATTTTTGGTTGATACCCATATTTAACTAAAATGTCCCATTTTTAAACATTGTTTATTTGTCTACTGGTCTGTGCATTCAAGTTAGCTTAATAAAGTGCACACTGGTTGATAAAATAAACATTGTTTAAAAAAAATGGGATATTCTTCTCAAATACAGGTATCTACTAAAAATAACATTTGAAATAATATATATATATATATATATATATATATATACCAAGTATATAATTGGTGTATACGGAATGAATTCCAATAACCAACAATTACTATTCTTAAAAGAGTGCTCAATACAAAGTAGAGCAGATATAATTATTTATTTAAAAAATTTATAACATAAACATGTTATGAAATCACTACAAAAATAGCCATTTTGTTTATGTTATAAATTTTATAAATTTTTTAAATAAAGTCTAGGAGAAGAAAAACTCTGAATTCAAACCAGCTTTGAGCCTCATTGTTACACAATATGTGGACTTATATGCAAATCACTAGTAGGAATGAAGTGCCACATATGATACAAACATAAAAACTGAATGTGTGTGTGGGGTGTATGAGGCCAGGTGATTAGAATGTTAGCTTTCTGACCATGAGACATGGGTTTGAATCTCACCATAGTTGATTAGTCAGTGACGTGACTCCATGATAATATTGGCCTGGGGAAATGATCCCAGCATGCAGCATCACTGGGAAGTGCCTGAAAACCATACCACAGATTAATCTAAGCCTTGTGGGTAAAATTAGGTAGATAGAACTGTTTGGAACCTGTCCATGGTTGTGCTAGCATGAAATCACAAGTCATCATGTCTGAGGCTTTGAGCATACTGGCTTTATTGAAAACTTTTAATCTTGTTATAGTAATGTGCTTTCTTCCAGGAACTGTAACTAATGTCCGCTCAGCATAATTGCAGTATAAGCCACAGGTTGGCTCTGTGCATGTTGAAGAAACACAAATGTACCCGAGCAGACATCTGCAACAAGGATCAGCTAGCCATCCTAGCAGGTGGCTCTACTAGGAAACAGGCAGACAGCCATTTGCATTTATTTATTATATAACTGTCTTAGCCTCACTTCCGGATTGTCTTTTTGGTTATCCTTTTCCTGTGTGTTAGGCTAGTGAAAAGAAAAAAAATAGATACTATTGATTGATTGATTCATTCATTCATTTTGTACAGCTTACTGCAAGTTATTTAAAGCCAAGAAATATTTTTAGATTGTCAGAACTTTCTCTTTTGTGATAATAATGGTTTAGTGATACAAATCTTACTAATTAACCCATAGCTAAGGGGAGAAGAGGTGGATTTATACCTTTTCTAAGGATATTTGTGCATAAGTGAATATGATGAGCTAAAAAGAAATTGGAATTTGGTTCTCTGATTAACAATTCCAAGCTATTATCCTTTACACCACCCACACATCCAAGCTTACAACATCTGGTATTCCCAAGTGGTCACTCATCTAGGTACTGACCAGGATCAATGTTGCTTAACTTCAGTGATCATATGAGAACCAGTGTTTCAATGTGATGTGGCTGTAAGTCTTTAATGTTTGTATCAAGACAATTGAAATGAGAAAGTTAAAAAGAATAGCTGTAATTTACAATATGACTGTTATTAATCCACTTGAATCAATGACAGATGAGTATAGAATATTACTGATTGATATATTGCAATTCAATGACAGATGAGTATAGAATATTACTGATTGATATATTGCAATTCAATGACAGATGAGTATAGAATATTACTGATTGATATATTGCAATTCAATGACAGATGAGTATAGAATATTACTGATTGATATATTGCAATTCAATGACAGATGAGTATAGAATATTACTGATTGATATATTGCAATTCAATGACAGATGAGTATAGAATATTACTGATTGATATATTGCAATTCAATGACAGATGAGTATAGAATATTACTGATTGATATATTGCAATTCAATGACAGATGAGTATAGAATATTACTGATTGATATATTGCAATTCAATGACAGATGAGTATAGAATATTACTGATTGATATATTACAATTCAATGACAGATGAGTATAGAATATTACTGATTGATATATTGCAATTCAATGACAGATGAGTATAGAATATTACTGATTGATATATTGCAATTCAATGACAGATGAGTATAGAATATTACTGATTGATATATTGCAATTCAATGACAGATGAGTATAGAATATTAGATTGATATATTGCAATTCAATGACAGATGAGTATAGAATATTACTGATTGATATATTGCAATTCAATGACAGATGAGTATAGAATATTACTGATTGATATATTGCAATTCAATGACAGATGAGTATAGAATATTACTGATTGATATATTGCAATTCAATGACAGATGAGTATAGAATATTACTGATTGATATATTGCAATTCAATGACAGATGAGTATAGAATATTACTGATTGATATATTGCAATTCAATGACAGATGAGTATAGATGATTGATATAGAATTCAATGACGGATGAGTATAGAATATTACTGATTGATATATTGCAATTCAATGACGGATGAGTATAGAATATTACTGATTGATATATTGCAATTCAATGACAGATGAGTATAGAATATTACTGATTGATATATTGCAATTCAATGACGGATGAGTATAGAATATTACTGATTGATATATTGCAATTCAATGACGGATGAGGACAGAATATTACTGATTGATATATTGCAATTCTAACTAAAGTTCATTTTTTTATGAGGTAATTTTGTAATTGCATTGACAAAGAAATGTTGTGTATTGTTGGGGAGAAATAGAGTGTTAGTAACAAGTACCTTCAGTTTGATTAATTCACTATAACCAAAAGATCCATCTTGGAGTTTCACTGATCGCTTCACACCTGTCTAGAAAAGAAATAAAGATATTATCCATGAGAAACTGGAACAAAAGTAACTATCACATTTTAAAATCAGACACATCATTTCTTTTACATTATTCTTTGATTTAGATGATTTAAATAATCTTTGTAATTTAAAGTGAAAATATGTATATTTACATGTATTTCTGCTTATTTAATTTCTTGTTGTTTTTCTTCCAAATGTAGATTTGTAATTGAACTATTTTGTTGAGTTATAATCAGTATAATCACATCCACTAATTTTAGATAGATTGAAGTTCATAAAGTGTGAGAAATAACAATAGCTTTGAGTTGTCTTAATTGTAAAGACTCGATTCTCTTGGTGTATTTTACTTGCTGTTTCTCCTGCTTTTTCGTGCTTTCAATATGTCATGTGAGTGTTAAATTCTTTTGACCCTTTCCTGATTATGTATCCCAGAAATTTCAACTGTCACTTTCTGATTGTAAGTTTTCTTGTTAAGACTTCCTCATATGTTCTGTCCATGATATCCTTAGCATTTATTCATAGAACCACATGTCTGTTGCTTCAAGTCTCTTCTTCATCTGTAAGGAGATTGTCCAACATTCATTGCCTTATAGAAGATTAGATGTTGCATAGCAGTTCAGTACACTTTTCTTTGTTTTTAACATCTTCCTGTCTTGTATTATTTTGCTTTGTTTCTGGAAGACCTTTGCTATTCCTATGAACCTTCAAATATGTGCCTTGTGCCATATTTCTATCTAAATCAGTGGTGGGCAAATTATGTCCCATGGGCTGCATCTGACCTACAGCAGGTTTGAGTGTGGCTCATAAAAGTATTTCAAAGAAAAGTTTTCATATGGGAGAGTCCATCATAAATGACATAAAATTTGTATAAGTCTTTTTAAATGACTCTAAACATAGTCTGTATGGAATTGCTTATAGTCATAGTTGTAGTCTCCACTATGAGTTATAACCATAACACACCATATTATTGTGTGTGTGTATATATATATATATATATATATATATATATAAAATTGCTGTAACTTAGGGAAGGTTACTGAATAGAAGAATCACACGAAGGTTGGTAATGAATGATAATACTTAGGACACGAACAACACATATAAGATTCACCAGTAGCGTAAGGAGTAGTAGTCAACTGCTAGAAGTGAGTCAAGTGAATTCCACAGTGTATTTCCAACTGCAGGATATCTACTAACTGCCTGATGTGGTCAGACGTGGCACAAGGCTGAATTTAATGTTGGGTATCTGAGCCCGTATGCTCGGCCAAAAATTCCTGTTTCCTGAGACGAGACTCTACCCTTCAACATAGCCTCATCTGGGGATCCTCTCTGCCCAGAGGCAGAGAGTTTGACCAGCACAGCTGTAGACAAATCTCTAAATGCAGACCAGCATACAGTATTTACTACTGTATTTATGTGAATGGGGAAATACCCATTATCATCCGTAGGTATGCTGCAACAATAATATTTTTGGAGATTTATTTTTACGAGTTCTTTTGATTGAAATAGCTGAATAAATAATGCCGGAAAAAATCTCTAGAAAAAAATAACTTTCAATTTCTGAGTAATGCTATTCAGATAAAATAGTCTCTTTATAAATAAATAGATTTTTGAGTTTTTTAAATTATTGATTTAAAAAAAGAAAAAATAATAGGATAAATACTGAAATAAATTTTCACCAAATTTAAAAATAGAGTAAAAATTTTTTTTATGTCTTCAAGTTGTTTATTCAAAAGGGGTAGAATTATGAAATCAAAAGAAAACCTATACTTCTATCTTTTTCATTTAACATCAAACAAAACTAAATATAAAAAGACATATAACTAAAATGTATAAAAATTCAAATATACAAAGATGTTTAAAAGGAAATACACAAAACTTACATCTTAGAAAATATTAAAAAGTTACTGTCGTTCAGAATATTTAAAATATTTCTTATAAAACTAGCAATAGTTGTAAAAATTTAGCTTACATATTATAATATGAAAATACTTTAGATGAGGTATTTAGATTAAAAATGTTCAATTGCAGGGCATAAATCTGGAGAAACTTACCTTACGCACTCTCTCCTTTTTGTGGGGGGGTGTTGATGAAAAATAGATTGTGTAGAATGATTATTTGTACCATAACCACGTTTATGATCATTCAAAATTGATACATAACTCATTGAACATTTTTCACTTTACTAATATGTTTTCTATTTGTGCATAAAATATACAATTAATAGATAAGATAGGAAACTAATTGACAAATATAAATTTAAAAACCTAAAATATTGTTTAAGTTATATTGAAAAGTTGTTGCATATAAATTTAGCAAAATATGTAATGTTTTGTTTTTCATTTTTAATAAAAATTGAAAACTATTTTATGAAATAAATTTAAAGAGATTAAGTTTAACGAATCTGAAGACAGAATAAGTTTAATGAATCTGAAGACAGATTAAGTTTAACGAATCTAAAGGCAGACTAAGTTTAACAAATCTAAAGGCAGACTAAGTTTAACGAATCTAAAGGCAGACTAAGTTTAACGAATCTAAAGACAGATTATGTTTAATAAATCTAACAACTGATTAAAATAAGTTCAATTTGAGCATTCTCCATCTTAGTTTGTAACTATGAGACATTTTTAAAAAAGATTTTAGAAACATTTCAATTTTGATATTCTAGAACATTTCAGGTTTAATATTCTAGAAAGCAAATGTGAAATAAAATGGATATCTTGGAGAATATCTTTTAGAATTTTGCTACTTTATAATATTTTCTATGTTATTGCTATGATAACTTTTGGTCTGTTTTGAACTCTCGTTTAAAAAGCAGACTGTCTATTAAAAGATTTTTATTAAATTTCTATATAGTCAAGCAAAATTAAAAATCAGACATAATAGCTAAGATTTTTTTTAATGGGGAATAAGCAAATAAGCAATACATCTACAATATTTAGACACACAAGAAAATGCATGCAACTCAGAAATAAATAAAAAAGTAATTCATGCTGATATTTTAATCTGTTATTAGAAAGATGAGTGAACAATAATGTTCAGAAAAGATAAAAAGTTGTAAGGAAAGAGAAGTAAATATTATAGAGAAATCAAGAAAAGTAATTAATTAAAATAATTGATTAAATGTTCTTTACAATTAAATAAAAGTATTACTGATAAAAGTATTTGTGATTTTATAATAACTAGTAACTCTCCACAAATGCTGATGAAGGTTTGAATTAGCATGTCTATTCTGCAAAAATTCTGTCATCAATAAAAATTTGAACAAAAATTGTCCAATGTCTTCTGTTAAAAAAAAAAAGAAACAAAAATGACATGACACGACAAACTGACACGTTTTTGCAATACAAACTACTTGATAATGTATTTACATTATTTATATTCAAATTGATATCCTCATCTTTATTGTTATTATCACAACATTTTGGCCATTGTGCTCACTGACCTTCTTCAGGTGACCATCAATCTAGATAACCTTCATTGAATTTCAAAATGAAGCCTACACTTGTAGATTGTTCTTGTCCTTCTGTCCAAGTCTATAAATATCTTGTCAAGTTCTCTTTTTTAGCACAGACTCATAATCAGTAAAAACAAGTCAAGTAATAACTGACCAGTACTAAAATGAGAACAAGATGAGGTATCCCTA